AGAGAGAGAGAGAGAGAGACAGACAGACAGAAAGTGGAAAGTCATCCTCTAGGGAGAATGGTCACTCTGCAATCCCTTCTCTGTTCTCCTCTTGGGATTTTGGGCATGCATGCACATGGGTCTGGCGAGAGTTTCAAGCTGCCAGGTCTGATATTCAAACCACTGTCAGAAACAGGAGTCCAGTACCTTAACCACTATGCCACCTGCTGGCCCCAAGATCTTTTTTTTTGTTTGTTTGTTTGTTTTTAGTAATTGTGCATTAGTGAGTCAAATGAATTCTTCCATTTTATTGATCCCATAATTAAATCATTTAATAAATATTGTTACTATCATCTTATTTTATGTATAGATGTATGTATGTATATTGATGCTATTTCTTTCCTGGCATTATAGCGCCATTGATAGGCTATGGAACTGTGATATTGTTAATATTGAGAGCATGCTTTCTCATTGGAAGTGGTAAACTCCTAATGTTCATGGGTCTTGGATTCACAGGGAAGCCAACTTATTTCCCTGTGCCATTGAGAATTAAAATATAAAATCTAAAAGAAGGGAAAATCTTTTTAAATTCTACTACTGAACACTAGATTATATTACACAAATGTTCATAGGCATCTTAATGGCATGTTGGAAGAAGTAATTTATTTTTGGTTTTGTACCTATTTTTAAGGTTCAATAATAGTTTTTTAAAAAGTTAGAGCATTAGGCAATAACTATTAATACAGGCATACCTTGGAGATAAGTTTGATTACAGATCATTGCAATAAAGCAAATCACACAAACTTTTTGCTTTTTTAGTGCATATAATGGTTATGTTTACATTATACCATTGTCTTTTAAGTGTGTAATAGTATCACGTCTAAAATGTACATATTTCAATTTAAAAATGCTCTTTTTTTTTTTTTTTTTTTAAGAGAGGTTTTTTGGCTATAGGGCGCATGTACTTCCAGGAAGACAGAGAGACAGAGAGACAGAAAGTGAGAAATCACCCCCCGGCGGGGGGATGGCCACACTGCAGTCCCTTCTCCTCCATTTCCCTCTTGGGATCTTGGGAACACACTCCTGATGTGAGTTTAAGCTGCCTGGGAACTTGGACCTCGGTCAACTACGTGAGAGTCCCATGACATAAACATTACACCATCTACTGGTCCCTTAAAAATACTTTCTAGAAACTGAATGACTAGAGGATTCAGAAAGAGAAAATAGTTATAGATACCAGATACAGTGTGGGAAGAGGGTGGGAGAAAGAGGAGAGTCTGAGGATAGACATTAAGGAAAAAAATAGAGGCAAGACATTTATAAGCCAAAGAAATGGGTTATTATCTGTTAATGATAACATGTATTTTATCCCCAACTGGACTGGTGAGAAATGTATTGATGTTGGAACACTCATTTTACAAGCTAAGTGACATGTGATTGACTGTATAAAAGAAATTGAAATAAAATAAAATTTAAAAAATTAAGCGCAAAATAATACTTTCTTGCCAAAACGTGTTAGCAAACATCGGAGCCCTTATCAAGTCATCTTTTTGCTGGTGTTGGGGCCTGCTTTGATGTTAATGGCTGCTGACTGATAAGGCTGGTGGTTGCTGAAGGTTGAGAAGGAGGGAGGAAGTTCTTATGCTAAGATAAAAATGATGTTCGCTGCATAGATTACTTCTTTATTCCACTAAAGGCTTCTCTGTATTATATGATGCTGTTTGATAACATTGCATTCAAGGACTTCCTTCAAAATTAGAGTCAATCCTCTCAAATCCTGATGGTACAGTATCAGCTAAGTGTACATAATATTCTTAACATCTCTGTCATTTCAACAATGTTCACAATATCTTCACCAGAAATAGATTACATATTAAGAAACCACTGTCTGCTTATTCTAAAGTACCAAGTCTTCACCTGTTTAAGTTGGATCAGTAGGTGGCAGCAATTCACTCACATCTTCAGGCCCCACTTTCAATTCTAGTTGTCTTGCTTTTTCTACCACATCTGCAGTTGTTTCCTCCACTAAAGTCTTGAACTTCTCAAAGTTATCCATAAGATTGGAATCAACTTCTACCAAACTCTTTTAATGTTAACATTTTGACCTCCTCCCGTAAATTCTTTTCAGAAGGTTTTCAGTTGACTTATCCCTGCTCACATTGACTTTGCCAGAGAATCTCTATGTATGGCAGCTATAACCTTATGTAATATATTTCTTGGATAATAAGAGTTTAAAGTGAAAATGACTTCTTCATTTGTGAGGTACAGAATGGTTGTGTTAGCAGGCACAAAAGCAACACAAATCTCCTTCTACATTTCCATCAGAGCTACTGGATGACTACATGCATTGACAGTGAATGGAAGTGTTTCGAAAGGAATGAATTTTCTGTTTTTGTTTTTGAATAGTAGGTCTCAGTGGGTTTTAAATATTTGGTAGGTAAGCTATGCCGTAAATATTGACAGGTGCGCTGTCATGCACATCTACTTGTTTCATTTACAGAAAACAGGCAGAGTAGATGTAGCATAATTTTTAAAGACCTGAGGATTTTTATAGTGACAAATGAACATTGGCTTCGACTTCAAGTCTCAAGCTGCGTTGTTGCTAACAAAAGTCGGCCTGTCCTTTGAAACCTTGAATTCAGACATTTGTTTCTCTTTTCTATCTATGAAAGTCCTTGATGGCATCTTCCTTCACAATAAGGTTGTTTCATTTACATTGAAAAGCTGTTATTTAATGTAGCCACCATCATTATCTTAACTAGCTCTTCTGGATAACTTGCTGCGGTTTCTACAGAGCACTTGCCACTTTACCTTATGCTTGGATATCGTGCAGCTGGCTTCTTTCCTCATACCTTATGAACCAATCTCGAATAGCTAGCTCTGACTTTGGTTCTGCAATTCTCTCACTTATTTCGGCCTTCACAAAATTTAAGAGAATTGAGGTCATGTTATGGATTAGACATTGGCTTAAGGGAATGTTGTGGCTGGTTTTATCTTCTATACAGACCTCTAGAACTTTCTCTCTCACCAGACAAAGCTGCTTCACATTTTTGTCATTCATGTATGTTCACTGGAGGAGCACTTTTAATTTCCTTCCATTTTCCTTTTCATTTATAACTTCGTTAACTGTTTGGCACTAGAGTTCTACCTTTGGTTTACCTTGCTTTTTGACATGGTTCCCTCACTAAACATGATCATTTCTAGTTTGTGTTTAAAATAAGAGATGTATGACTCTTGTTCCTATTGTCACTTAACACTTAGAGGCCATTGTAGGGTTATTAGTTGGCCTAATTCCAGTATTGCTGTGTTTCATGGAATAGGGAACAGAGAATGGGGAATGACCATTTGGGAGGGTAGTTGGAATACACGTAATATTTTAAATTAAGTTTGTTGTCTTACATGGGCATGGTGTGTGGCTTCCCAAAATAATTACAATAGTGACATCCAAAATTACTGATCAGATATCATTAAACATATATGATAGCAATGTAAAAGTTTGAAATATTGTGAAAATTACTGAATGTGACAGAGACACAAAGTCAGCCTATGTGGATGGAAAAATGACACCAATAGATTTGTTCCAAATAAAAGTTGCCACAAACCAGGAATTTGTAATATCTGCAAAGTATAATAAAGTGAGCACAAGAAAATGAGGTGTACGTTTATTTTTGTCAGGAACTATATGTAAATTTCTATAAACCCTTAATTAAGGAAGGATGATACTACTTTATAAGACTATTGTGAGGGCTAAATGAGATATGGTTTACGAAGCTTTCGTATATTGTGAAGCCCTATGTAAATGTTATGTTGGATTGTGATTCAGTTCTTTCCTAGTTGCCTGCACAGAATGGATGAAAATCCTTGCTGGTGTATTAGTTTGATATATGAGCTAACTCTTGTGACACAGATAAGCACAAAAGGTGTAATTACTCAGAAACTGTAGAGACTTATTTCCTCACGTTATAGTCCCAGGAAACTCAAAATATGAGTTTGTGGTAGGGAGTTCTTCTCTACAAGGTATTCAAGTGTTCTGCATATGAAGATTTTACTGTTTACACTTGGCTTTCTGTGTCACCCTGGCCATAGGCATTAAGCTCTCAGAATTGAATATGGGGAGAAATAGGGATAATTTTCATTGACTAGGCTGAAGCGTTGCACATTATTTTCTCTGACATTCTACTTACCACATTTAACGGTAAGCCTAACTTAGAAATGTAGACTAGCAATGTGCCTAAGAAGAAAAAATTTGTTTGGTAAACATTGAGAGGTATTTGCTGTGAGTGCACAAAGATGAAGCCAGTTACTTTTTTACATCCAGGAAACCAAGTTAGGTGAAATTTAGGTTTGGACTAAAACCTAGAATCAACATTTATGCTATAGGAAAGTATCTGTATTAATACACTTGAAAAAATTATAAATTGCAAAAAATGTACTATTAGCTATATTATGTATTACATTAGCATTACAAACCCTTCAAAAAGAACATTTTAAGTTATTAGATAATTATGTAATAAATAAGTTTATAATAATTTAGTTTGGCCAAAATATAAAATCCTCTTTACTCTTATTTAGAAATATAATTTCGGATCTTATTCATCTTCCATAATGTCTCTCCCAATGCCAAAATATGGTAATTTATTTGCTTTTTATGGTACCTTAATCTTACAATTGTCATATTATAAGTAAAATTTGAGGATTAGCCCATGGAGAGCAAAATCCTACATGGCCAACCCTGTGGTTTGAATCCTGGATACAAGAGCTTGAAAAACATGCCAGACACATGTGCATGCATGTCCAACATCCTAAAAGAGTAGAGTAATGGAGGAGACGGGATTATGGTATGGCCATGTCCACTGAGGAATGCTTTCCCCCTCGCTCTTATCTGTCTGTCTCTCTCTGGTGAGTACACACACCCTGTGGCATATTAAGAAACCATTTAAATATATTTTTCTACCTGATTGAATGTAAAAATGTTATATGGATCTTGAGTATATTTAAATTTAATATTATCTCTATTACAGATCCCATTGGTCAAAAATGGAAGACCAATTGAAGAAAGGTAAAATCTTTTTTCAATTTATCTTTTTAAAATCTTTGTTAGTTCACATATTTAGGTGATGAAAATAGTCATTGTAAATTCAGTATCATAACTTTTTTATATATATCTTTGCCTACTTAATTATACTTTTATTTTTGAAATTAATTTGAACAAAGTTTGAAACTTTGTATGTCAAATATTATAGAGTTTGAGTGTAGTCAAAAGTCAAACATTTTAAATGAATTAAATTAAGGACCAGGTGTAATATACAAACACACTCTTCCCCCCTTATTTTAAATTTAGCTACCATCATTGAGTTGTATAATCTTGATACATAAACAACACTCTTAAATTATTTTTGCCTTTTATTTTTTTCTCAGTTACTACACATACACACACACACACACACACACACACACACACACAAAGGGGTCTTCAAAAAGTTTATATAAAATTTATATTAGGAAAAACTATGCATGAATTTAATTTTTCCCCAAAATAAACTCATACTTTGATCCCATTTTCCATGAACTTTTGAAGTCCCCTTTTTGTGTGTATGTGTATACATATCCATATGTGTATATATATACACATGCATGCATATTATTAATTGAGTTTATTCATCCAATTAAATTTTGTAGCTTTCACTACTGAATCTGTTTGTTTAGTGTATTATTATTGATTCACAAACCTATTTCATCAAGAAACAGTCATCCTGAGCCAGTTTTGATAGCAGGGCTCCAAATTCTGTCAGTCAGTTACATGAATTGTTGGCAATTCAAATTAAAACGGCAGGAGACATTTTCTTATTTCTAATTACACAGAGCTGAATTTGTAAAATTGTGGTTTTGATTACCATGCATTACAAATTGTAATATTTCTAGATTATAGACGTAGATGAATTAACAAGAATTAAATGATAAAGATAATGATTTAAAGCCAGAAGTTTTGAAAAGATCCATTTTTAACATCCATAGTCTATCTATATTTTTAGGGTATATGTTTTTAAAATCTTAAGAGAAAATTAGACATTGGTTTATTTACTTGTTGCTTTGCAAACTTATTGGTACGTTTCCTGTCATTTATTCTTTTACACTTTAAATATATATGGTCTTTTACATTTTAAATATTATTAATATTTGAGAAGATACAAGATAAAGTTAATAATTATCTTCAACTTTCATGGAAACGTTATCCTCTTATTAACTGTGTAGAATATGAAGAAATAAAGCATGACACTCTTATAGTCATGCTCAGTTGTCATAGAGCATGTCATAGAATTATAGTTCTTCTGTGAAAACATGATGAGGCGCAGGCTTTGAATGTGTTGGAAAGCAGTAATTTATGACCCTGAAGAGCACAAAGTGGTGACTTTTGATGTAAATGGTTTTAATATTGAATACTTAGTTGCTGTGGGTGAATTTGTTAGACTCTTTATACACTTGATGTTCTCTGGAGAAACACTGGCTTAGGAAATGTGTTTTAAAGAGAATCTCTAGTTTCTATGAAGGCACAATAAGAATCTCAGATGCTTTCCATGGGCCTCTGGAAAAATCCTGAAGAGGGGTTATGATATTGTTCCTGTGAGTTATTAGCCCTGGCAGCACCCTTCTATTTTGCAGAGTCACAATTGAGAGTTAAAATGGAAAGTGGTAGGATGGCAGAAGGGTTTGATAAGAAACAACAGACTGAGGATGATAGGGAACGTAGGATATCGAGATCAGAAAACAATTACAGGATGAATATCAAATAATTGCTCTTCAATGGCTTTTTTTTTTCAGGCCAGTCTTACGGCCTAGTGGTTAAGGGAGCCAGATCTATGTCCGGCTACATTGTTTGAATCCTAGCCTACTACACAGTTTGAATCTTGGCCAAGGAGCTTGAAAAACTTACTGGGTGCATGTATGTGCATGCTCAAAATCTTAACAGGAGGGAGAAATGGAGGAGAAGGGATTGTGGAGTAATCATGCCTTACAGGGGGTGTGCATTCTCTCTCTCTCTCTCTTTCTCTGGTGAGTGCACATGCTCTCAGCCTTCCAAACAACACTAAGAAAGGCTTTTTCTTTTTCTTTCTGGAAATGTTGATGTAATGTTTCCTAACTTTAGAAGGCAGATGATTTTGATTTGTTTCATTTGAATTTAACTCTAATGAGGCAACATTGACTGAGGGTCCCTGCCATGCAAGGTACTCTGCTAGATATTATAGGATGTAAAAGGATGACAAATATATGATCATTACCTTCAGTGTATTAACAGTAAGGCAGAGAAGTCATGGAAAAATATATAGAATGTAATACAGGAGATATATTCTATAAAAAGTTACCAGGAAGCTACAATAAAAAAGAGAAAAATGTTATTTCTGGTTGCATTGAGAATTACATAGCAGTCAAGAAAGAGAGTTGGGCTGGATTTTCACAGGGAAAGAATGTTCCATGCGGACAGAGCTTTGTTTATAACCTGCATAGTATGCTTGGGGAAGGCCAGAAGTTCCTTTTGTTTGCAGTCTAGGCTAAGGAAGTTAATGGAAAATATGACATGAAGGAGGTTTTATAGAATTGCCCATAACATTTTTAGTTTAACTATTGCTAAATATAATAAAAATTCAAGCTGTTAAGCACATAGCACAATATAATTCATCAACCTTCATTTTGGGTTACTCCTTAGATCCTAATAGAATTTCTGAAATACTTTGGAAAAGTCTCCCAAACCTTCAGAGTGGATGGGAGCGAAGTAAGGAGACCCCACCTGAGCAGACACGTGGTATTGCTTATAATAAAGTACATCTTTTTTTTGCGCTTGCCAACATTTAGCGATTTATTTTGGCTTAGGGAATAAGTTAGCAGCAAATATTTAATCAAACAATAGATTTTAATAATTTATTGTTTCACATCTTATATATTGTTAGGTCTCCTTAAATGTTTTACAGCATTGAAATTCACACCCTTTAGAAGTGAAAATATAAACTAATTCTTAGCATTTTATTTTTAAGCATTATAATTAGGGGCCAACAGGTGGTGGGGTGATTAAGGTGCTGGACTCCCACATGGCCCATCACAGTTCAAGCCCCAGATCTAGTAGCTTAAAAATCACACAGGGTACATGTATAGGTATGCCCAAGATCCCAAGAGGAGAGTAGAGAAGGGATTTTGTGGCAGGTCAACCCTCCTGAGGGGATTATTTCTCACCTTGCCTCTCACTGTCTCTGTCTTTCATGTGCCCTCTGGCAAAAACCTTAAAAAAAAAATCTACTTTCTTCTAAATCCTTTTGCTATGATCCCTACCCCCAAATACTGCTTAGCTTTGTTATATATAAAGGACAAAAACATAAAGAAGAGGAAGAGTATTTATACATGTCCATTTTTCTCCACAGTTTAGATGATTAGCTGTTAAATCTTCCCATTTATTTACCAAACTCATTAATTTAATACTTTTTTCACCTTCATATGCCAGGTACTCTTCAAAGTACTGGGTTTTATCGATTTGTAAGATAGGTAAGATCCCTTCACTTATGGTGCTTATGTTACAATAGGAGATATAGCCAATAAACAAAAATAAACAAATTATAATTTTAGAGAGTAATTAACAAAAATAATAAACTTACCTCATAGAGAGTCTCAAGGAAACATAATTTAGATTGTGTGGTGAAGGAAGTTATTCATTTTGAAGAAAAGGGATTATCTCATTTTGAAATAAAAAAACTGTTAAAATATTTTGTTTTTGTCTAATTTTTATCAGAATAAGTTTTACAAATAAAAATTTATGTTACTATAAAAAACTCTACAGATTTCATCATTTCCTTAGTTAACTGTTATTCAAATTGTAGCATACAGTGGAGGAAACCTAAGAAGTGGTAGATTGTACAATATCTCCTGGATTGTCAATATTCTTTACAGAGGTGTCCTCAAACAAGGCAAAAATGAATTCACCATGGAAAATGCTCTTGAGAGGGACCCATTCCCCACACATCACTTTATTAAATTAGAGAGGAATTGGGAGGAGATAAAGAATACATAATCAATCATGTAACAGTGAGGCTTCCTGTTGGTATAATGGCCTGGTTAGAAATAGAGAGGAGATAAGAGGCACTTTAAATATAAACATAGCTAGTATCAGTGGGAGCTGTTTTTCTCCTGAACAATTTTGACAACCAACTCTGCCAAACCACCAAGAGTTAAAGAAGAGAGCTGCCAGGCCATCCAGAAACAAAGATTTGTCTCTCTTCCAACCGCCATTTGGTCTTGGAGATCCCATGCATTGGCAATTATTTGAAGTCAGTCCATTAGCTCTGACTTACACCTGGTCCAAAACATAGCAATTTCCACAGTACTTCTGGGGAGTAGGTTCAGCTGTTACCAGCTGGCTTATGAAAGGGTGCTGAACCAATATCCTAATAAATTCAAATGAACTCTACTTGCTAGCCAGCAAAAGAAGGCCATGTTAGAATATCTGTTCAGTTACCTACAATAGGAAAGGGAAAGCCATACATCACCTCCCTTGACAAACCCCTTAAACCATTTCATTGAGTCAGACATGATCACATCTGACAAACAGATCTGTTATTCCTCTATGGAAATAAGCCTTATTGTCCTTTTTCTGGTCGGCAAGTTCAGCAGAGACCCCAGTTACCATTCTGCCATCGTAGATCACCTGTGGAGTCAGAAGACAGTATCTGCAGAACCACTTGATGCAAGGACAATGCCAGTCTTCTAAATAAGTAATACACAGTGTTAACCCAAGCACTCAGGCCAATAAATGGGGTACAAAAAAGGAAGAAGAAATGATCTTGGTACTCCTTAAATTTTAGGTGGGGATCTTGCAGAGTATGGCAGCCTATAACTTGTAAACAACCAGAGAAACCTGGACCGACAAGCACTGCTGTGGTTGTTTCCAAAAGAGGCTGTCTAAGGTGGCAAGGAGAAGAAGCTGGATGGATAACGGTGGCTTTTGTGTCTTAGAGATAAACTCCTTGGGCATTCTGTTTCTCCATGGTGGGATGGATTTGAACAGGAACCCAAGACTAC